TTTTGCTGTCTCTAAATGTCACTCTTACGTTTACGGAACGGTAAAAACTAGTGATTTTTAATTCTTTTAACTATGACGCTGGCTTCGAAAAAATCTGAAAAAATTATGAGTTAATAAACATGACAGGCAGCTTCCACTGTAAATATATAAATGTTGTCATTTGATAACTTCGATAAAAAATTGACAGTTTAAATGTTTAATTTTTGAAAAATAGGTTTTTCATTTAAGAAATCTGTAAAAATTCTCAGATATATAACACTCTGGCTATAATAACTCAGATTTTTTCTCATAATTTTTTATCGAATAGAATAGAAGAAATCAAGTATGAAATGAAAATGATATTTAGCTCGATAATTAGGAGCTCTTTCAATTGACGTATCACATGTTTCATGTGGTTTAGGGGCACTTTTACCATGCTTATTCGACTAAACCCTTTTGGCTGAAAGTGAAATTTTTTGGTATCTTTAAAATTTTTTTCGAGCTTTGAAAGTTCATTATTTCTCACTTTAAATAATTTTCGTTGATAATCTTTTGAGAATTAATTAAGGCTTCCTTTATATATAATTTTACCTATAAATTGGAATTTCTAGGGCCTGATTTAATGTCCAGTGGTTAAAGGTTATTGAATACCATCTTTTAGGGCTTCACAGGCACGGTTTGTGGCACAACCTTTCTTTATTACTTGCATGTGTCGAAGTTCAGCATACCGAGAGAAGGCAAATTGTTTTGTTACCTTTTAGAATATTCGTGCCTTCTCGTGCTCAATAGCTTAAGGACATGCCATAAACCACGGGTTTCCGAAGGGTACATTTTTTGTAACGGTCCGCGAACCGATTAGTCACCCAACGGAAATCCCGCACGGTTGCCGATGTCGCCCATTTCCACCTTTACTGTCTCCCACCCTTCCAAGGCAAAGCGCGCTTAGGGCGCACTGAAAGGACGTTGGCGACATAATTAGACACGCTGATTGGTTTTTAAAATTATTCACGATCAGCGTGTATTTCGAAGGAAGTGTCGGAAGGAGCGTCAAACGCTCGCTTCGGACGAACAGATACCAAAGTGACTCGTTAGAGGACGGACGAACAGAAATTAGCAATCTACACTTCGTTCAAAATTAGAATAACCTCCCTCTCGGACCGATTCTCGTCCGTTCTGCGCATAGACAGAGAGCAGAGGGTAAGACGGAGAAAAACGTAGGCGGTTAAGTGGGGGTTTGAACGTTCTGGTGGTTCTAGCCCTGCCTTAGGCACGTCCCATGCGCGAAACGAGGTTACTCTTATTTTGAACAGCGTATATAAAGCTTTCTGCGCAGAGTATCATGATTGTTATTGTACCTGGGAATTTTAGCAAGCTTAATGCACCACTGTTATAAATTCCGTTTGTTCGATTCCTACTGTATACAATTTAATAACTCTGATGCAACTAAATTTCGTACTGTACATTTATAATTGACTATAATTTAGCAATTCCAACATTCCAAACGTATAAATCCCATTAAAGTACCATTATATGTACAACTAATTGGCTTCATTACCACAACGTGAAACTCGTTCTGCTGGTTTACATTCGCAAAATACTTTATAGAAATTCTGTGTATCGTATAAACAAAAATATGTGATTGCTTCTCTCTGTACGATGAATTTACTGTATTTGTAAAGTTATTCTTATTACTGGGAAATATATCTCGAGTTAATAATATTCTTCTGTTCATGTGTGAACGAATTTGATGAATATTTTAATTCCTGGAGGATCCATTTTTTATTAATTTAAAAACATTCTTTTCCTCCCTAAATACTTTTGGTTTATTTCAGTTATTTTTACAAAATGCCAGAAGATACCCTAGTATTTCACTTGTGATCGCTTAATAGAATATCAAAAAATGATCCACCCTGATATGAAAAAGAAGAAGAAACGAAAGAAATTCAGAAGTAAATAAAAAAATATATCCTATTAACATGTAAAATATTTGCTTGAATTTCCTCTGACGATTCCCTCAAAATACCGATCAAATATTCACCCCAACATTAAAAAAGAAAGAAAGAAAAGAAACCATTACCTCTAACAGGTGCCCTTAAAATACTATAAAACATCCATTCTACAACCATCCAATAATTCCACCAAAAAAAAAGCTGAACAATTTATCATCCATTATTATTGCTCGAAACCTCGAAAATCCGCTTACTCATGCAACGAAGAACACGAGAAGAGAGGATCGCCAAACGAAACAGTTATTCCAGTTGCACAGTTCCGCGAGACGCGCGAAAGCGGAAGGATCGATAATAATGTCTCGCGATACATCGCGGTAGCCGCGTTCGAATCATTTATAAAGCTTGCCCCGCGAAACGTGTCGTGGCTAGCCGCGAACGGTGAATTATGAAGCGAGAGTAGAAGGCCTGGACGAGCCGCGTCGCGACGCATTGAATTATCGTTCCGTTAAACGCGATACATCACGCGTCGGTATTTCGCGTCGAGACGCCGTCGCGATGGTGGTCCACGATGAGTAAAAGCGTGCGACAGAATTTCGTCGAGGAGTCCCGGCAGCTGCGTGAGTAATCGTCGCGTGATGATTAACGCGAGCATGCTCGCACGGAATTTGTCAAATTTTGGTTTCGAGTTGTAATTCGTCGCGATAAAGGGTGGATTCACGTGTCTCGCGGGTATTTATACGACTCGTTTCTTGTACCGAGTGGAGGATATTGCTCTAATGTTGCAAATTTTTGTAGAATTTTGAGTATTTCCGATGAACATTTTGTACTAACTTGGAAAATGTTGTAAGGCAGAAAAATATGCATTTGAGAAAAAGAATTACTTATTTGCAATTTTTCTAACCATTTTGGAACACTATAAGTAGATTAACCCTTTGGACTCCTTTGTCGAGTGTGACTCGATATCAGTTTTATTCACAGGTATGAACGAAGTAATTTTTAAATTGTCAGTTCAAATATGTATTATATTTTTCTATATTCTTTTTACCTGGATGAGCAATAGGTACACATACGTATGACCCTTAATGCTATTTTCAATATAATTAGTAAAAAAATTGTTTAAATTGGTTCCTATCAACCAAATAAAATTCTTAAAATAATAGGGAGTTGTTGAAAAGAAAATTTGGAGTTCAACGGGTTAAACGTATACAGTAAAACATGCAACGATTTATTTCTCGCGATTTCGTGGCTTCAAATGAATTTGTTTATCGAGAATCGGTAGATATCGTTGGCTATAGCTCGCGTCGATTTCTTAGCCGCTCAAGGCCCCCTTCCCCCACCCCCACTGCGCCGAGTAGCGTAGGGAGTAGACTCGAGAGAAACGTTTTGTTTTTCAGCGAGGAGAAACGTATCATCGCGGGTGAACGCACACGTATCTTCGTTTGACCCGGTTTACAATGTTACTTTCGTTAGCTAAGCGGCGTGTATTCCATTTCTGCCTCAAGGACATTCCTTCTGGCTTGTCCGTTCATGTACCGTAGCCTCGGCAGAGATAGTATCACGCCGTCGGGGGTTACGCGATACATGGTTATCGAAGTTGGCCGGATGTCGATGGTTTTAATCACGGGACGAACACTGGCCGACGATGGGACAAATGGAAAAATGGGACAGGATACACGGATGTCACTGTTTCTGTTTTTTTTTTTTGCTTCTTCACCCTACCTCTTTGTCCCTGTATTCTGTCAACTCCTTCTGTCTCTCTGCATCGGCCTATCTTTGACTTTATTGCATTTTGATTTTGGTACACTCGATATTTACGTGTTTCTCTATTTCGATATTTCTGTTTCTTTACATTTCGATGTTTCTGTGTTTTCGTGCTTTGATGTTTCGTTATTTCAATACTTCGATATACGCGAATTTTTGGGTTGACCAATATTTCTGTATTTCATTGCTTCGATGACTCGATATTTCGGTACATCAATAACTCCATATTTCGATAAATCAATAATAACTCGATAGTTTCCTAAACTCGGTTGTTCGGTAGATCGATAGTTCGATATATCGATATTTTCATGTTTCAGTAATATTTTTACATTTTTACTCACGTGGATATATTTCTGCACTCTCTTGCACTATCATATTTTTGCAGTGCTATACATTTTACGTTTGCCTTTCTACCTCGTTATATCTGTTATTCCCTCTCTATTCTTTCCCCCGCGTATCTATTTAGCTATCTCCACATAACCCAGCCTCCAGCACCTCTGTTCCTCTTTGCTTACACCCGTCAACGTCCGCTTCGTCGAGTCTGCATTGGCTCTCGCGGTGCTTCCGGCTCGCTGGACCGCGTTAAAGGGAGCTTTTCACCGACGTGCTCGTTCATACGCGATGTAATCCTAGTCGAGTTACGCTCG